TGGTGATGGGGATGATATGATGACTCTTGTGGACATTAGGAGGGGGTTCTCGGCATGAGAAGTGGATGAGGAGGGCTCTCAAGAGAGAGCACGGCCCGCTGTGCTGTGGCTGCTGAGCTTTCCTGGGGCTGCTCTGCACCTTCCATCCTGTGATCTTCCTTGCCCATCCTCAGCCGGTCAGACGCCACCTTCGCCCCTGTCTTGGGACTCTGTAATAAGCCAGTGGCTCCTGGTGGAAAGGGAGCCTTTGCACAGCACAGAGGTTCTGGGCTGGAAGCGGCCGTGTGAGCCTGGCTTAATTCTCCACTGCATTAATATTAATAGGAGACAGTCGGCTGCGGGTGCAGATGCGGGGGCGGCGCCCGGGAACAAAGGCGACTGGGAGTTCAGCAGGATGGTGGGGGCGGGGACCTGCAGGAGGCTGCGCTTCCTCACACCGACCCCAACTTACCCCTCCCTGCCACGGGGGCTGCTCGGGCGTGTCTCAGCCTGAACCCCACCATCCAGTGCACGGCCCCGAGGAGGAGTAACTGTCAGAACGCAGCTTGGGATCTCCTAGTGACAGGCAGGCGCTCACCCCCTCCTGGACGGCCATCGTCGCCCGGCTGTGAGCTTTGTCACTGTGACAGGAACAGCAGCCGTGCCCTCATGGGCTGCGAGCCCTCGGGGTGAGTGGGCACCTCCCGGTTGTGCAGGGCGGTGTGAGGAGGGGAGGCCCACCTAGTCTAGAAGCTGCCCGCTCAGAGGGAAGGCCAGCCGACTCCCCCTGGCTGGCTCTCCCTCTGAGCCCCGGGGGGTTCAAGCGCATCACTGGGGCACAGGCGCCCAGACTGTGGGGTGAGGTCGATCCAAGCATCTGTGGAGAAGGCTGTCCACCTGTGGGAGGCAGCGAGGGGCTGGGGACAAGGCCTTGGCACAAGATGACTGAGGCTGTGGCACGTCCTGTGTGGCCCAACGTCTCTGAGGCAGCTGCTGGCACTGACGTCTTTATCTTGGCTTCCCGGTCGCCACGTGCAGAAGTGTCTGCACATTTTTTATCTTGCAGTTCTGAAGGCCAAGGTCTGAAGGGCTCCTGAAGGGCTAGAGTCAAGGTGTGGGCAGGGCTGGACCCCGCTGGGGACTCTGGGGGACAGTCTGTTTGCTTCTTTTTTCCAGCAT